TAATTTCTTATTAGTCGCTTTGACGATATGCCTATTGAGAAGGCAGTTGGGGGGGGGGGGGGGGGGGGGTGGGGGGGGGGGGGGGGGGGGGGGGTGAATGCAAGAAAGGGGAAGAAGTCCGAGAAATGTTTCAACAACTGCTGATATCAAGAGCTCAAGGACTAAGAAGATTACTACAGGTTTAGCACAGGCCAATGAGAAGCGGTCAGAGAAACCACCAAAAAGATACCGACATGGGAAACAAATTATTTCAGGAGATAGGACGACGTCATAGAGAACGTATAAGAGGACAAGATAATGAGGGAGGCTAAAGGTGCTGGAATGTATTTCGTCCATGGTATATAACAAACAAACCGAAAACACCAAAACAAAACAAAACAATGCGCAGAATCTAAATGAGTGGAAGAACTGATTGCCAAGCCTATATGGCGTAAAAACAGCACAAAACACAGGATGATGATTGTGGTAATGATCTTCTTATTGTTCTTGTTCTTCTTCTTCTTGTTCTTCTTCTTGTTCTTGTTCTTCTTCTTCTTCTTCTTCTTCTTCTTCTTCTTCTTCTTCTTCTTCTTCTTCTTCTTCTTCTTCTTTTTCTTCGCGTTCACCGGCTGTAAACTCAGGTCAAAATGTATGGTTGTTTGTCCCCTACTGAACTTTGGTTTTGATCCAAATTTGAGTTTTCACCTGAACATCTGTTTAACACTCAGACTGTTAGTTTCTTGCCTCTCAGGCAGAAACACTCTGACTTTAGTGGAAACACCCTTAATTATTCCCCTCCTACGACATGCTTTTAAGGACGGCAGTGGATTTTTGTTCTCCAGAATGGCGCCCCAGAGGCCACATGGTGAGATGATGATTAGTGGGTGATGTAAATTCGCAACATAACGGTTAACGGCCGTGTAAGTTTGCCCGGCTTAAATTCCAAAATATGATATGTGTGCGATTCTAGGTTATTTTTTTGTGTAAGTGTACTAGTAGTCAAGGTGATGGTCTGAAAGGAAAGGAAAGAAAGAAAAAAAAAAGTAAATACAATAGACGGGCAGACAAACAAACAGAGAAGATAGTGAAACGAAGGAAGAACGAATGAAAGATAGAAAGAATCAAAGACAGAAGGACAGAAAGAAAGAAAGAAAGAAAGAAAGAAAGAAGAAAGAAAGAAAGAAAGAAAGAAAAAAAAGAAAGAAAGAAAGAAAGAAAGAAAGAAAGAAAGAAAGAAAGAAAAAGAAAAAGAAAAAAGAAAAAGAGAAAGAAAGAAAGAAAAGAAAGAAAGAAAGAAAGAAAGAAAGAAAGAAAGAAAGAAAGAAAAGAAAGAAAGAAAGAAAAAAAGAAAAAGAAAGAAAGAAAGAAAGAAAGAAAGAAAGAAAGAAAGAAAGAAAGAAAGAAAGAAAGAAAGAAAGAAAGAAAGAAAGAAAGAAAGAAAGAAAGAAAGAAAAAGCACAACTATATTATAAATTACTTGGAAATTCTTCTGAATCCCAATACGTTAAACAAAAAAAAAAAAAAAAGACGCATGCGACTTCCTACTGGTGAAATGTTATCCCTGCTCTCACACTTCCCGCAAATTCAATTCCAAAACGAGCTTCAGATTTTATAAAATATCTGGTTTATTTTGCCGAACAGATAAAAAATAAATGTGTCTATGTGATAATTGAGTGGGGCTATAAATAGGAATTTAAAATGTGTCCAGATCATTGCGTGAGAGAAGGAAACAAATATTTACTGAATCGACTGTGATATTTTCGATTGACACCTACCATAATTTCAAAAAATGAAAAAAATCTTATGTAATAAATAAATCGCTCTTATTTAATGTCAGAAAGAGGGTGCTAAAATGTTACATAGAACCTGTTCTGTTGTATGGCAGCGAATCTTGGAATGTCACTGAACAAATTAATAGGAATTTGGAAGTAACAGAGATGAGTTGTTTTTGAGGCGAATGTTACGAATACCTTGGACGGCCAGAGTAACTAAGAACGATTGCTTGAAAGAGATTAATGGAAGCAGATCTCTATATACAACAATAGGAGAGACTGTTCTTTGGCCACACAATGAGAAGAGAGACATTGGAGAACATCTTGACAACTGAAAGAATCAGATAGAGACAGACCAAGAGAGATGACTATGGCATGGAGGGATTTTATCAAGAGAGCTGTTCCAGTCAACAAGGGATCGTGATCTGTGGAGACGGATGAGCGCCTACGCCAGTTGGCAGGGCACATGATGATGACTTGCCATATTTATATATGTATATAAAACTCCACTATAATTCCCAATTGGGGAAAGGCTGTGTTTGCCTAGAACTTGATTAAATGGGCGATAATATTAGTTATAATAATAATTAATTTTTACCGCTGTGTCGTTCGTTTCACGAATGCACATTTTACCGACACCCCGGAGGATCGTCGCCTGAGCTACGGAGTACAACATTTCTGCGACGCTTTCAGCAGGGGGCGAGTTGTTTCGCGGAGAGGGACCGAGCCATGTGGGATTAAGCTCAATGCAGTAAAGGGACCCTCACAACTTCACATTGAAATACATTTGAAATTGAATGAACTATTTAGAGGCTCATTTACATGTTTAGGGAAACAATTTAGCACGTGCGATGATTGTGAATTTGCAACCATGACCTGACTGCAAGAGCATGTTAAAGGGGGTGTGGCCAGACAAGTGAAATATACCGGAAGCCAAAGAAGAATAAGAAACCAACAGAAAACTGGCGTCGTGAGCAGCACTACACACTGTGTGATTTACTGAGAAGGGGTCAGAGTATTTACCGTCTGAATGGCTCAATGTGCAGTGGGGATAATCTGACGAATAACTTACTAACTAACTAACTAACTAACTAACTAACTAACTAACTAACTAACTAACTAACTAACTAACTAACTAACTAACTAACTAACTAACTAACTAACTAACTAAATAACTAACTAACTAACTAACTAACTAACTAACTAACTAACTAACTAACTAACTAACTAACTAACTAACTAACTAAGTAGCCAACTAACTAACTAACTAACTAGCTAACTAACTAGCTAACTAACTAACTAACTAACTAACTAGCTAACTAACTAACTAACTAACTAACTAACTAACTAACTAACTAACTAACTAACTAACTAACTAACTAACTAACTAACTAACTAACTAACTACTAGCTAACTAGCTAACTAACTAACTAACTAACTAACTAACTAACTAACTAACTAACTAACTAACTAACTAACTAACTAACTAACTAACTAACTAACTAAGTAGCTAACTAACTAACTAACTAACTAACTAACTAACTAACTAACTAACTAACTAACTAACTAAATAACTAACTAACTAACTAACTAACTAACTAACTAACTAACTAACTAACTAACTAACTAACTAACTAACTAACTAACTAGCTAACTAGCTAACTAGCTAACTAACTAACTAACTAACTAACTAACTAACTAACTAACTAACTAACTAACTAAGTAGCCAACTAGCTAACTAACTAACTAACTAACTAACTAACTAACTAACTAACTAACTAACTAACTAACTAACTAACTAACTAACTAACTAAGTAGCTAACTAACTAACTAACTAACTAACTAACTAACTAGCTAACTAACAGCACGTTTACAAAGTTTCTAAGAAGAAACAGTTGGGAAGCTTAGTTTAGAAAAACAAATTATAAAAGAGGGGATTGGGCGTGGGGAGCATCAGCCACCAGATTTCAGCTCCGATGTAGTAGTAGTACTTTTTCCCCACCAGAATATCACACAAGCGATACACACCCGATAACACAAAGTGCCACCATGTGGACAAGGATCACCCGTGGAGAGGTCCCGGAAATAGCGTTCAGTCGTTAGCCCAGATTTGTGGCCGGGCTATATTGCGACCTCTGGCAAGAGCCACATGGGAACTTCAAAATAACGAAAAATTGCATTCCCCCAAGAGGATGACTTTGTTTTTTTACCCCCGATGTGTAAGCGAGTGGGGGAGAGGATGATTTTTCTACAGCTAATAACACGAGTATTTTCACCGGTCATTAAACCTGCATGCATAAACTTGCGTGTGCAAGCGGCATTTGAATGTTTGATGTTATTGTCTGTGATGTTAGCCTCCGCTGCAGAGTGTTCAGAAATATATTCTTTAATGGGAAAGTCGTCAACGACTTTGTGTTTATGCTGGGTAATATTGTTTGATACCGGTTATGAAGATAATATCTGTAACGTTGTTTTCAGATTAAATTCCCCTCTTTGACTATGTAAACAGTGGAATAATTAAAGCTACACGCACAGGGCTGTAATCGTTATTGGTGACACTTACAGGGCTGTAATCATTATTGGTACCACGCACATGGCTGTAATTGTTATTGGTACCACGCACACGGCTGTAATCGTTATTGGTACCACGCACACGGCTGTAATCGTTATTGGTACCACGCACACGGCTGTAATCGTTATTGGTACCACGCACACGGCTGTAATCGTTATTGGTACCACGCACACGGCTGTAATTGTTATTGGTACCACGCACAGGGCTGTAATTGTTATTGGTACCACGCACACGGCTGTAATTGTTATTGGTACCACGCACAGGGCTATAGTCGTTATTGGTGACACGCACAGGGCTGTAGTCGTTATTGGTACCACGCACAGGGCTGTAGTCGTTATTGGTACCACGCACAGGGCTGTAATCGTTATTGGTACCACGCACAGGGCTGTAATCGTTATTGGTACCACGCACAGGGCTGTAGTCGTAATTAGTGACACGCACAGGGCTGTAGTTGTTATTAGTGACACGCACAGGGCTGTTGTCGTTATTGGTACCACACACAGTGCTGTTGTCGTTATTGGTACCACAAACAGCGCTGAAGTTGTTATTGGTACCACGCACAGGGCTGTTGTCGTTATTGGTACCACACACATGGCTGTAGTTGTTATTGGTACCACGCACCGGGCTGTAGTCGTTATTGGTACCACTCACAGGGCTGTAGTCGTTATTGGTACCACTCACAGGGCTGTAGTCGTTATTGGTACCACGCACAGGGCTGTAATCGTTACTAGTACCACGGACAGGGCTGTAATCGTTATTGGTACCACGCACAGGGCTGTAGTCGTCATTGGTACCACGCACAGGGCTGTAATCGTTACTAGTACCACGGACAGGGCTGTAATCGTTACTAGTACCACGGACAGGGCTGTAATCGTTATTGGTACCACGCACATGGCTGTAATTATTACTGGTACCACGCACAAACCTGTTGTCGTTATTGGTGCCACGCACAGGGCTGTAATCGTTACTAGTACCATGCACAGGGCTGTAGTCGTTATTGGTACCACGCACAGGGCTGTAGTTGTTATTGGTACCACATACATGGCTGTAATTGTTATTGGTGCCACGCACAGGGCTGTAGTCGTTACTGGTGACACGCACAGGGCTGTAGTTGTTATTGGTACCACATACATGGCTGTAATTGTTATTGGTGCCACGCAAAGTGCTGTAATTGTTACTGGTACCACGCACATGGCTGTAATTGTTATTGGTGCCACGCACAGGGCTGTAATTGTTATTGGTACCACGCACAGGGCTGTAATTGTTATTGGTACCACGCACATGGCTGTAGTCGTTACTGGTACCACGCACAGGGCTGTAGTCGTTATTGGTACCACGCACAGGGCTGTAGTCGTTATTGGTACCACGCACAGGGCTGTAGTCGTTATTTGTACCACGCACAGGGCTGTAGTTGTTATTTGTGTCTTAATAAAGATTTCTTAGGAAGTGGCAGGGGCCATTTCGGACTCGTCCTGTTGGCTAAATGATACGCTCTCTGCGTCTAAGTTAATAGTTTAGGTAGTCGCTTAGAGCAGATGTAGTCAGTCAGTGTTCGGTACATTATAATACAGGGTCATATAGTACCGCCACACAAAAGGTTTCAGTAACTTGATAACAGAGGTACATTTGCTTATGTTGCTAGACTTGCTATTATGTCGTGTCTGTTAAAGCATTGGGCTGCAGTCTTTTTTAATAATGAAATATTTAAAACGTATGGAGGGAACATTACCTGCTCGGGTGTAATCAGAGCAATGCTGATCATGTTGCTGCCGATTTTTCTCTTACTTGTTCCTTAAAGAAGATACCAGCGAAGGAAAAGGAAGTAGTCAACCGGCTAACATTGATAGAATATCGGTTTTTCTAAACTGCTGGAATAAAAGAAATCAGCCCGACCCATTCTATGTCCGGACGCGTCTAGGAAATGGAATATGCAGAAATCAATAGTTAGTTATCATTAATGAGCTTTCCATTTATAACAAAGCCAAGTGCCTTCCTGAAGTTATTGAGTTGTCCAGCAGGCAACGTGTAATCATCTTCTTTCGTTTCTAAAGAATGTTTTTGTTTAGTTAGCTTCTGAACTCTGTTTGGGAAAATGGGGGAGCGGGGGGGGGGGGGGGGGGGGGGGGGGGGGGGGGGGGGGGGGGGGGGGGGGGTTTGGACTTATTGTAAAAATGGGGGTTGGGGGAGGGGGGTTGTTGAAATCATTTGATGTTACTGAGGGTAAATAGTAGAAAATGTTAATGTAGGATATTTAAGTGTGGGGGCGTATTTGCGAGATTGTAGAACAAAATTCGGTTGAGTTACTTTAACACTAGCAGTACGAGGCAATTCACCATTCTTATAATATTTACTACTTAGCGTATAAAAGGTATGAAAGAATCAATGATGCTGAGCTCTGGGAGAGAACGAAACAAAGTTCTAGTGGACGGAAAGGTGAGGAAAAGACGCTGGCATTGGATATGAAATTTACTGAGAAAACTTTAGAACAATATAACAAGGATATCTTTACACTGGAACCCTATAAAGAGCATAGCAATAGGGGCAGACCAAAAACACTTGGAGCAGGAAGCTAGAGAGTGAAATAAAGAAGATGGGAGGACATGGGGTGAGCTGCATGCATTAGCAAAGGGTGCAACGACTAAGTGTAAGCTGGTTGAGGGCCTGTGCTCCACTTGAGGATAGAAGGAAGAAAGGCAGGAAAAATATGAAGAAGGAGAAGCAGAAGAAGAAAAAGAAGAAGAAGAAGAAGAAGAAGAAGAAGAAGAAGAAGAAGAAGAAGAAGAAGAAGAAGAAGAAGAAGAAGAAGAAGAAGAAGAAGAAGAAGAAGAAGAAGAAGAAGAAGAAGAAGAAGAAGAAGAAGAAGAAGAAGAAGAAGAAGAAGAAGAAGAAGAAGAAGATAAAGAAGTTGAAGAACACACAGTGTACATCTCTTAACCTCTTCAGTTTCTCCTTATCGAGAGTCCATTCTATTTAAGGTTCTGCTGAGTAAAAACCGACCAAGCTGCATCGAGATACCAGCTAAGTGATTTTGTGTATCTATGTAGTATTGTTTAATTTGTGTGTGCTGATGAAGGCTCAATAGCCGCAACGTTCACGTTTTGTTTGTATTTTTTTATATTATGAAGCTTGCTAATATACTTTTCGTTCGGTTTTATATCTTTTTATTCTATTTAAGGTGTTATTTCACCTTCTTCTTACCTATGGAATAAGTTACACATCCACATTTCAAGGGCTGTCCCTCTTATACATAAAAGGTATGGGATACACAGTGTGAATGAATCAATCATTTCCGAATTGACATCTCTGCACGCCAGCTTGATCTCAGAGAGGAGTATGGAAGTGTCGAAGTGTGGAAGTGTGGAGGCGTGGAAGTGTCGAAGTGTGGAAGTGTGGAAGCGTGGAAGTGTCGAAGTGTGGAAGTGTGGAGGCGTGGAAGTGTCGAAGTGTGGAAGTGTCGAAGTGTGGAAGTGTGGAGGCGTATAAGTGTCGAAGTGTCGAGGTGTCGAAGTGTCAAAGTGTCGAGGTGTGGAAGTGTGGAAGAAGCAACCTGTTCCGGAAATGAAACAGGCAAAGAGGGGACAAGACAGGTGGGTTTGATTCGGCACAAAAGACAATTCTTGCTACTGAAAAAAGATTCTTCGCTTCTTATTCGACTTCACCAGCAGTAAACTCGAGCAGAAAGTTTTGGTTGTTCGTCTACCTCTGGACGTTAGTCTAGTTCCAGGACCTGGGTGTTGCATGTGCATCCGTTTTACAGATTTGACTTATGTGTATGCAGATTGTTGGTTCCTTGCCCCTGAGCAGATACAATCCAACTTCGAATCTTACGACATGTTTGGGAGGCAATGGGTCCATTCTTGTTTTTTCCCACAATAGAATCCCGGAATCCACACGGGGAGAATATAGATTTAAAACTTAAGGAAGCAGAATAGACTAATTATAATGCATCTTTTCCTTGGTACTCCCATCTCGTGTGGTGTTGGTATTCACCTTTGTCCACAGTCTTCTTCTCCTGTTCATTCAAACATTTCCCCCCCCCCCACACCATGGTTTGTCGGGTTTCCCACACACATTTGTGTCTTTTCCCACTCCCACTCCCATTCAAACCAATGGTCCTCCCGCCCCCCCCCCCCCCCCACCTTTTTATTGGCGACGGTGAACCATTAAAGGTGTTTACTTTTTTCTAATAAAGAAGTTGCCAGTTTTTTTTTTTTCGGTAAGCCAAGAGCATATAAGCTCATCATCATTAATATCCACTTCTGTCGTAAAGTGTTGTGGGGAGGAACAGTGTGCGATCCATTGCCTGATGGACAGCATTGGCTATAGTCATTCCGCGTCGATGAAGAATCTCTATAATATCATCATTCCATATCCTCCCGTGGTGGCCTCTTGATTCGCCTCAGATAGTGTCATGTGTAGCGACTGCGTTGGTAGTATATCTGACTGCAATGATAACTGTTTTTTAGTTAAAGATTGAATGACTTAGTGCGCTAAATGGATATAAACTTTAACTATCTGGCGCAACTTATTAAGACTAATTGTCAGCATTGGCTAACCGCTTTTATTATTGAGAAATTTCCCAATAAATAGCAACAGTGATACAGAGACAATAATGGCTAACATAATTTTTACTAGTCTTCCCGTGCTCCGGTGGCTTATCTCATGACAGAGTGGAGCAATGCTCAATTGTCCATTGTTTCCGTTATTATCAAAACAATTATCATGTACTAGAGAGAAGCAAGCGCGCATGCGTGTGGAGAACAATTTCCGGGTCACTAAGTAAATTACCCGGATGAGCGACCTCCATTTGGCTCTAGTTCTCATCCAATTTTTCTCTGAGTTTGCCCCCCTTTCTGGCGGGGCCTCATTTGTCAATATGACCTCGCGTGATGCTGCATTGCAACACACAGCTCGTACAGTACGTGTTTCTGCGAGCAGTCTCATTGTGTGTCCTAATAGTGACTGGGTTAATGATTGCACGATAAAGTACAGGCTATTTATAACCTAATTTTTTTTTTTCTGTAATAGCTGTTTCTTTTCTAAAAAGGGCGCCGACACAAAGAAAGCACGGACATTTCCCGTCAGACCAACAATGAATGATTTCATCTGATTATAGGGTTGCCATGGAGACGAAGACGGAGCCTCAGAAAGGCGTGCTTGTTTATGGGCACTCTTGGTATCGGGTTGGATGGAAATAGTCAGGAAGGCTCAGTGCTGTAGAGATGATTTGAACGCAATATTCTAGGAACGACTGTGTTTTGAATCTGTTATTATGTGGGTGATCTTCTTCTTCTTCTTCTTCTTCTTCTTCTTCTTCTTCTTCTTCTTCTCTTCTTCTACTTCTTCTTCTTCTTCTTCTTCTTCTTCTTCTTCTTCTTCTTCTTCTTCTTCTTCTTCTTCTTCTTCTTCTTTTTCTTCTTCTTCTTCTTCTTCTTCTTCTTCTTCTTCTTCTTCTTCTTCTTCTTCTTCTTCTTCTTCTTCTTCTTCTTCTTCTTCTTCTTCTTCTTCTTCTTCTTCTTCTTCGTCTTCTTCTTCCTCCTCTTTCTTCTTCTTCTTCTTCTTCTTCTTCTTCTTCTTCTTCTTCTTCTTCTTCTTCTTCTTCTTCTTCTTCTTCTTCTTCTTCTTCTTCTTCTTCTTCTTCTTCTTCTTCTTCTTCTTCTTCTTCTTCTTCTTCTTCTTCTTCTTCTTCTTCCTCTTCTTCTTCTTCTTCTTCTTCTTCCTCTTCTTCTTCTTCTTCTTCTTCTTCTTCTTCTTCTTCTTCTTCTTCTTCTTCTTCTTCTTCTTCTTCTTCTTCTTCTTCTTCTTCTTCTTCTTCTTCTTCTTCTTCTTCTTCTTCTTCTTCTTCTTCTTCTTTTTCTTCTTCTTCTTCTTCTTCTTCTTCTTCTTCTTCTTCTTCTTCTTCTTCTTCTTCTTCTTCTTTTTCTTATTCTTTTTTTTTTCTTCTTCACCTTTTTCTTCGCTTGCACCACCTGCATACTCCGGCAGTATATTGTGGTGATTAGTCGACTTCTGGTTTTTAGGCATATTCTAGAATTTTGCTTGCACGTCCGTTTTACAGATCTGGCGTATTTGTATGCAGACTGTTGGTACCTCACATCTCAGGCAGATGCACTCCGACTTCGAAGAAAACTTTCCGTTTATTTGCCTGTTTGAAGGGTTAGGGGGGAGGACAAGGAGTCTATTCCCCTCCCGAACCACATGGGGCCTGAGAGCCCACGAAAAGCCTTATTGATTTATTAGGAGAGATTTTCAGTGCTGAAGAGGTGCTATTTTGTAAATAATTTAGGGTAAACTTGGAATTATATAGAACTTATTATGCGCACTGTATACATGTGTAGCCTGACAATTACATAAGGAGACTGATTTGATTATATCTAAAACAATTACGCCATCTATGAAACAAATCATATCATCCAAACAGATA